GGGGGGGGGGGCGAACACAGGGAGAGATAAGGGAGAGGCGCCGGGGCCTTTTGCGAGGGGGCTCTGGTCGTCCGGCCCGGGAGAGGACCACGATCGACAGGCGGGCCTAAGAATGGCGCCCAGCGTATGTTGAGATGCCAACGCACAATACCTCTCCCCCCACACCATCACTTCCAGGCCCGATCTGGGACCAACGCGGCTCGGCCTGGGCACATTTGTGCGCCACTCCCCCAGCCAGATCTCGATGGGCCTTTCCACATACTTTTTGCTCGGCCTGCTCCTCCCTCTTTTTTTCCCTCCTTGTGCCCTTCTGCATCTTCCCTCGTCGGGTATAGCCCCATCTGAGAAGGAGTTCCAGCTTGATCAACCCCCCTCCTCGCTCTGGTCCACATGTCCACCTTGGAGGAGCGGAAGCGGATCGCTCTCGAGAGGGTATGTCCAGGCGCTTGGCCATGCTTCCCTCCTCCTGTCCCCGGTCCTGACCATGACATTCGTCTTCCCTTCGGCACAGCTGAGAGCCTCGCAGGCAAGGCAGCCCGGTGCCGTCGCCGGCGGGCAGCCTGCCCGAGCTGGCGGGACTCTCCCTCTTGGCCCAGCTTCCGGGGGTCGGGATTCCGCACAGTCCGTCGCCAGCGGCCCTGCCGCCGCGCGCCCCGGGTCATTAATGGAGCTCTTCTCGTACCAGCCGCCACAGGCTCGGCCTCCAGCGGCTCCAGGCCCGACATTGGGCTTGCCCCCGGGCGCGAGCTCCGCCCCGACATCGATGTCCACTTCGACTCCCCTCTTGGCCCATGCGTCTGGCCCGTCGGGGGCCGTTGGGCCCTCCGGATTCCGGCCAGGCCCCATGTCAGCGGCAACCGCCGTCGCATCGGCCCCTCACGCCGCACCAACCGCGCCGCCAAACACGGCCGAAATTTCGCTCGTCAACACGGGCAAGTCTTTCCTGGTGACCTTCGCCAGCTATAGTGTCTCTGGCAACCAAGTAGTCACCTCCCTCGGCGGGATCAACAGTACGTGTGTCTGTTTCATCGCAGCATGAGGAGTTGCGTGGGCCACTCTGACGGCATTTGGCCATTGCCTCTCCCCCTCCCCCTCCCTCCAGAGCCGCCCCGACAGTGGAGCCTCCCGAACCAAGTTTACTTTGAATGCGTCAGCAAACTTCGAAAGATTCCCGGCATGACGGTGCACCAGCCCCCCGAGCTGACCCTCACCTCGTATGGGCTGATCACGAATCGGGCACACCCCCACGGAGGCCAGCACAATCCCCAGCAGGACAAGGATTACAAGCCAGAGTGCGTGCCGGGGATCGGAAGCCCCCTCTGCGCGCTTGATTGCTCATGCTTCTGACGCTTAGACCCCCCTCTCGCGCCTCTCTCTCTCTATCTCACACACACACACACACACACACACACGCGCGCGCGCGCGTACATGTGCATGGGTATACATTTGTATCCCCAAAACATGCGTATGGGCACATTTCGCTTCCTCAGTGGAGAAAGCCTTTCACTTACCAGCCTTGGCATTCCGGCCGCCCTGGCAGAGGCGCTTTACCCGTTCCAGCGCGACAGTGTCCAGTACGTGGAACATGCCCGCTGCTGCTTGAACCGGGGCATGCGCCTGCTCGTGGAAACCCTCCGACTGACTGTTTCTTCCTTTTTCGGGGCCCATCTTTGGGCCTGGGGTTTGTCTGGGGATGTTTTTGTTGGACAGATATGCCCGACTTCATCACGGTCGCGTGCTGATCGCCGATGAGATGGGTCTCGGCAAGACAATCCAGGGTGCGAGGCAAAGTGTCGCACCATGCGCCAAATGTCTCATTTCCTGGTCCTTCGGCCATTAACCCGATCCCCGTTTACCCAGCCCTGGCCATTGCCTGCCTCTACCAGACGGAGTGGCCCTTGCTTATTGTCACAGGCGCCTCCATTCGCGGGTCCTGGTTCAATGTGCGTGTTTGCCGGGCCCCCTCCGTGTGTCGCTCCTTTTCCCGCTTTCTGCGCTGCCCCTTGTCTGGGGGTCCATGTTCCCGGAGCCCGCCAATCTGACGCCGTGCTCTGGCCCCGACCTCAGGAGGTCCTCAAATGGCTGTCGCCAGCTTGTGTGTCGCCAGATCTGGTGAAGCTTGTCGACCCGAAGTTCGGCAAGATAGACTTCTCACACCACCGAGTGCTCATCGTGAGTTATGCTCTGTTGACCAATCACCTGGAAAAGGCGCTGCAGGCTCCTCGATTGGGGGTCGTCATCATCGTACGTGTGCCCAATCACTGCGGCACGCACAAAGACATCCATGCGCACGCGTGCCTCCATGTTTCATATGCTTGCCCTTCGTCTCTGACACGCACACACACCCGCACACACACCCGCAAACACACCCGTACACACACTCACTCACTCTCACACACACACACACACACACACACACACACACACACACACGGTCCACCCTTGCCAGGATGAGTCGCACTTGATCAAAAACAACAATGCCAAACGGACTCGCGCCATACTGAACCTGGCTTCTCGGGCATCCCGGTGCATCCTCCTTTCGGGCACCCCTTCGGAGAGTGGTCCATGGGAGCTCTTTTCCCAGCTCCAAGCGTTGCACCCGCACATCGGCCGCAGCCAGCAGCTCTTCTTGGACCGGTACTGCATCCCGCACAAGGCCTACATGGGCAAGGTGTCATATCGCGGAGTGCGCCACGGCGATGAGTTGTCCGGCCTGCTGCGGCGGCTGGGCCTCATTCGCCGCTTCAAGTCGCACATTCTGCATGAGCTCCCTCCAAAGACTCGGCACAAGGTATATCAGATTATGCAGGCATATCAGTTCCCCCCCCCCCCTCCACCACCACCACCACCACCACACACACACACTCTTCTATATGTGTACATACGCGCACGTAATGATGTGCAGATTTGCCTGCTGGTTTGTCGCCGGCCTGTCTGAGAGCACCCTCGCGCTACCTTTCTAACACCTTGGAGCTGCTTTTTATCCCCCGATGGCCCCTCCCGTGTATGTCCAGATCTTCGTTGACTGTTCTTCCCTGACGGCCGAAGAGTTGGACAGGCTCCTGGAATCCGATAGCACTAGGTCCTCCTCCAAAAGTGCCGGTATGTGGCTTTCCCCAAGGGCCGCTGTCCCCATCCTCGCGTCTTTTTCCGGTTGTTTTCCCCCGCCCCCCCCCCTTTCTCGCTCTCACCGATTATCCCTCTGGTACATGCATACGCTGCTCCCGCTAGGCAAACCCCCGCCTCGGTCCTCCTCCGATGAGCTGTCTCCCGAGCAAATGCGCCTCTGGCGTGAGACCGCCTTCCGAAAGGTAGCCCTCCTTCTCTTCTTCTCCTCTCCCCGTCCGTGCACACATGCTCCTCTCCTCATCTGTTGGATCTAACGGCCTTCTCTGTGTCCGCGTGCTTCGCTGCTGGTCTGGCTCGTGGGTCTTGCTCCTGGCGAAGCTTGATGGCATGAAGCGCCACATGACTCGACTCTTCCAGCAGTCCGAGCCGTCCTTCAAGCTGGTCCTCTTTGCATTTCAAATTAAAATCCTTGCCGCCTTCAAGATCCACACGTCCGAGGTACTGGGACTGGATTACATCCACATTGACGGCGCCACGCCAAATGACCGGCGCACGGAGTATGTCAATCGCTTCCAGCATGATCCCAACTGCCGGGTGGCCCTCCTGAGTATTACGGCTGCCAATGCCGGGATCACTCTCCATGCATCAAGCCATGTGGCCTTTGCCGAGCTCTACTGGAACCCGGGTGTCCTGCTGCAGGCGGAGGATCGCTGCCACCGAATTGGACAGACACGCCCGGTTCGGGTGGAATACTGGCTGGGCAGCGGCTCATTTGACGATCAGCTGTGGTGCGCACCAGTGCTTTGGTCATGTCTCAGGCGTACCTGCCCATGCCGGCCTCGAACATCCAAGCCACCCACACACACACACACACACACACACACACACACACAGGGGGCAACACCCTGTCTTTCACATCACTAACTCACGATGACCATTTACTAATGTCCCTGTGGTTCTTTCTCTGGGGGGGGGGGGGCGAATGGGGGCTGAATAGGGTGAAGGTCAATCGCAAACTGCAGATGCTGTCCAAGACCGGCGTTGGGCTCAGCGATGGCCAAACACAACTGCAGGTGGATGGCACTCGGCACTCGGCACAGCGTCAATTGCGAAGTGGCCGCTCGCCGCCCCGCGCGCCAGGGAGTGGCGCACACAGCAAATCCTCCTCCGATGTTATGATGACCTTCCTGTCGTCAACAAAGGCGTCCAGGGACTCGGAAACGGAGCCGGGTCTGGTGGGAACCCGGCACGAAGAGGATTCCCCGGCGGACGGTCCCGGCCTGCCATTCGTCCATCGGGCTGGCTCCCTCATCCAGCAGACATACCAAGCGGATGGCGATTTTCAATCGCAGCCGATGCATGGTCCCATCCGAAGTTTGGAGGCCGCCTCGAGGACCGGCTCGTGCGCGGTGCTGGAGGGCCTCGTTCGCCAGCTGGACGGGCTGGAGGCCGAGCTGGAGAGTGCCTTTGCGGAAGATTCACCATCTGGCACCCCATGCGATGGATCACCGGATGCTGGGATAGACCGGCGCCCGGCTGATCTCGATGAAGCACGTGTCCACAAGAAACCACGCGCAAGTGACTAACTTGCCGCCCCCGCCGCTATTTTTTCCCACCGCGCCATATGTATGCAGGGGTGTTTTTGGCAACACGGGGGCGGGGGGGGGGGGAAATACGATGTTCCTCTTAGTGGGCGGGCACACCTTTGAGCATGGGATGGGCGAGGCCCAAAAGGTCGGCTGGATGGCGGAGGAAGCAAGGGGCGGGCCTAGGGACGGGGGCTGCTCCTACAGGCGCACTGCTGATCCGCCGCCTCCCCTCAACCCAGACTGGGGCACAACTATGCCCCTCCCCCCAAGTATGCATCCTCGCCGGCGGGGACTGGCGACGGGGGTCGTGGGGCGGTCTCAACTGAGATCTCCGATCCGTTGGCTGTTCGAGGACGGCAGGTTCGTCATGCCCCCCTCCCAGCCCACTCTTGTTGGCTGAGTGCCGCAGACGGGGGAGGGGGGGGCCGGTAAGAATGCCCAGCGGACCCACGGGCCCGGGCGCCACCAGGGAAAGGTGCCTCCGCTGGCTTCTGTCCCCTCGCCTCTCGGGGGGGGGGGGGGGGGGGCGGCGGGGGGCCGGGGGGGGGGGGGGGGGGGGCGGGGGCGGGGGCGGGCCAAGGATCGGCCGCTTCGCAGCGCCCTGTGCGAGAGAGGGGCAGCTGGCGCGAGAAGACACACTAGGCCCCCCCCCCGCCCCTGCCGTGCCGGCCCCGGGGGCAGACGGGCCGACTTGCCGTGCGCGCCTCTCGGGGGGGGGGGGGGGGTGTCTGCCCGCGCCGTCGGTGTTACACGCGCGGGATGCCGGGGGTGCGCGCCCG